AGTTTCCCCTGACGAAGCTCTGAGGTCGGAGGCCAGGTGCCCTCGACCCCAATGTCGCGTCACTGATGACCTGCTCACTAAGGCTTATGATACAGTGGCGAGCATGGGCCGTATAGGCAATTCCCTCTCTCACCTCATGCTCGCCCTCTCAGCTTCCCTGCAGCAGGATGCTCTCAGCGCTTCCTCTACCAGCCTCAGTGACGCCTCATTACAAGCGTTCGCTCTGATGTCTAGAGAGCTTGGGCGCCTGATGTCCACTCTCGTCCAGACTCGTCGCCAGGTTTGGCAGGCACAGTCACCCTTGTCAGAGGCATGTAGGAGGACTCTCCGTGCTGTCCCAGTGGAGCCGGGGGAGCTGTTCGGTTCAGCTCGAACGGACTGTCCAAGCTAGTCAGACCAGTTAACAGTTCTCAGCTCTTCGCAGAGACATGCCCCCCCCCCCCCCCCCGGTAGGCCTAGAGGTTCCGCGCTGCCTCCCGAGGCCTTCTACTCGACCTACTTCCTGGTAAGGAAGAAAGGCGGTGGACTTCGCCCAATCCTCGATCTGAGGGGACTCAACAAGTTCCTAAAGATTTTACCTTTCCATATGCTGAGCACAGCGGACGTTCTTCGTACCGTTGCCAGGGGGGAATGGTTCACGTCCGTCGACTTGAAGGATGCTTATTTTCATGTGCCTATTGTGCCTCATCACAGGCAGTTTATTCGCTTTGCCTTCAGAGGCCGGCATTTCCAGTTCAGGGTGCTCCCATTTGGACTCTCCCTCTCCCCAAGGGTGTTCACCAGGTGTGTCGCGGCAGCCCTCTCACCCTTGCAGTCTCAGGGTATGAAGATTCTGCCATACTTAGACGACTGGTTGATTTGTGCACCATCCCGGTTGCAGTCGACCCAGGACACGGCTCAACTTCTCTCTCATGTCGCCCGGATAGGCCTCAAGGTGAACATGGAGAAGAGTTGTCTGAACCCCTCTCAGAGCCTAACCTTCATCTGCTCAGCACCTGGACGACATCCTCCAGCTTCTTCCCCTCTTCCGAATGGGCAGGTCCCTTCCATACATTTTTTTCTCCGCCTCTTAGGCAAGCTGACAGCTGCATCCCTTGGGCTTGTTGTCACTGCGCCCCCTGCAGAGATAGCTGAACGGCCTCCACTTAGACCCCAAGTTGCACATATCAGCTCAACATGCAAGGGTTGACAACAACACAGTGGGGAGCCATAGGCTGGTATCCGTCTTCTTAAGGGGAGCTCTGAGGCTTCGCCCCCAGAACGTCCCAAGGGCTCCTACATGGGACATGCCCTTGGTGTTGGATGCCCTATGCTCGCCTCCCTTTGAACCCTTGTCACAGGCAGAACTGAGGTGGCTCTCAGCCAAGACTGCTTTCCTTCTTGCCATCACCTCAGCAAAGCGAGTAAGCGAGCTTCAGGCCTTGTCCGTGAACAGCTTGTGTCTGAGGTGGAACTCAGATGGCTCAGGTGTCACCTTATGGCCGAATACAGCGTTCCTCCCTAAGGTGCTGGCACGCTCTCATTTTAATCGGCCTATCCACCTGGCTCGGTTTGACCCCCCATGAGGAGAGGGGGAAGAGAGGTCAATACTCTTATCCCTGTCTGGGCCCTTAGAGCTTATGTCCAGACTACCGCAGGCATACGTCAGTCTGAACAGCTCTTTCTGTGTTACGGTGGTCCTAGAAGGGGCTGTGCACTCTCAAAGCAGCGCTTGTCCCACTGGATCGTGGACATCATTGCCCAGGCATACAGAGTGAATGTTGCCGCCCCTCACCCGTTGGGTGTGATCCTCCTGCAGAGTCCACCTAGGCCATCCCTATTGGGTAAGTACTCAGACTTCCTCGTGACTTTGTTGATATAAGTCATCCAGTACTAAGCACTGCCTCTGGTGGTCAGTAAGGATGAAATAGAACGATAGTTACGTATGTAACTACGGTTCTATGAATCCTGGATGACTTGGAATCTCGTGTTCCCGCAAGAAGATTCCATAGGACTGAACTCGTTGACAACACCGGAACTTATGCCTTCCGGGGTCATACGAGGTCACACGTGAATTTGTTGATATAAATATTCGACCTGCGCATGCGCGAGACAGAAGATATCCAGTGCTAAGCACTGCCTCTGGCGGTCATCCAGGATTCATAGAACCGTAGTGACATATGTAACTATCGTTTTATTTTTAAAGTGTTATGTCTTTTTTTTAGGGCTGTCAGTCGATTAAAATATTTAATCGCGATTAATCGCATGATTGTCCATAGTTAATCGCGATTAATCGCAAATTAATCGCACATTTTTTATCTGTTCTAAATGTACCTTAGAGGGATATTTTTCAAGTTTTTAATACTCTTATCAACATATGAGTGGACAAATATGCTTTATATGTTTGTTTATTATCATTTGAACAATGACAAATATTCTCATGAATATTAAACACAACAACCTCTGAACATTACAAATATTCGCGTATTAAATATTATGTGTGTGTGTGTGTGTGTGTGTGTGTGTGTGTGTGTGTGTGTGTGTGTGTGTGTGTGTGTGTGTGTGTGTGTGTGTGTGTGTACTGTGATGGATCGTTGGAGCTATGTGCAGCTCAAGGCATATATGCTCGAACGGGAGCTGCCTGGACGCTGCAATCATGTTGCGCACACTATCTGTGCTGAGTGTGCTGACTTTTCGTACAATGTCCCACTGTCTAAAGTCAAGTGCTCGGCGCAGTTGTCGGCGAAATGTCGCTCCTCTGTTTTCATTGAAACAGCTCCTTATATCCGTTAGCGCAGCTAGCTAGCACCAGATGCTAACAACAACAACATGTAAGGTGTGCCTCGCGCTCCACACATACACACACCCTCCCGGTCCTCCCGAAGGCCAGTCCGGGCCTGCCGGTGAGCGTGGAAGTGTGGTCTGCCACAAGCGGGCGGCAGGAGCGGGGCTGTCAGCATCAGCTTGTAGATGGTATTTTAAACTCTATGCGCTCTGAAACTATGGGGCGGCCGAGGACAAAAAATACACATGCGTTAATCGCGTTAAAATAATTTGTGGCGTTAATTGCGTTAACGCGTTATTAACGCGTTAACTTGACAGCCCTACTTTTTTTTACTTCCTGTCTCTGTTTCCCCTCCTGTTTGATCACCTGATTGTGTTCACCTGGTGCCTTTGTGTTTTGCCTTCCCTCCCCAGCTGTGTCTTGTTCTCGTGATTAGTCTATGTATTTCAGATCTTGTTTTCTGTTGGTGTTTATTGGATCTTTGAGTTTTACACAAGGGAGAGTTCTGGTCTGTTTGATGTATATCTTTTGAACCTTGTTTAAGTGTAATTTTCAGTTAATTAAAAATTAACAAGGTGCTCTTTCACCTACTCAGGGAGACTAACATTCATACGTTTATTGCCCAAGAACACATTGACAACCTTCCTTTTGTAAGAAGACCACTCTACCTCACAGCCACAGTCACAGACAGTTAGCATGGTATGCTATAGGCCAGGGCTACCTAATGACTGGCGGGTCGAGACCACTGTCTTGTCAGTCTTTGGGTGTGGTAAGTGTTTTTGTGTTAGCATTTTAAATCTTACACAGGTATTTTCATTTCAAGAAAGTTCATTCTAACATTTTGGTCCCCTTGATAAAGTCTTGAGCAGCCATCGGTTTCTCCACCGAGCCCTCGAGCCACTGTTGGTTCTATAAAATCAAGATTGCAACAGTCAAAATGCCAAATATATGGTTTCAAAACTGAAGACCACAAACCAATGGGCCCTTCAACACTTTCTATGGTGACAATGTTTCTTTAACAATGTGCCACTGCAAATATTCTTCATTTTGTGGAACATCCTTGCTATTCCTAATATCTTATAGAGCTGCTGCTGCTGCTGTGCAGAGGTCATCCCACGCCCAATAGGAGGAAGTCCCCTCTAGAGCTCTTCCTCCCATGGCCTGATATCTAAACCAACCATCTGCCAATACAGCCGAGGAGACATTTGGTCAGTAGCTCAGTGAGTCAGGAGCAAATGACTGAATCATCTGTTGGAGACATTCAGTTTAACCAAGTTATGCCAGCCTTCAGGAATAGACTAAAGTAGGTCATTTCTGGATAGTGTTTCAATTCAGTTGGGCTTTTAAATATTGTGAAATATACCTTTTCAACTATACTTTCTTCTTGTTTTACAGTAAATGTATTTTAAAAGTTCAAAAGCTGATTTCATCAAATCACTTCAATTCAATATATTCAGGGTTTTTCTGCTGCAGCCTTGGTCTCTTATGATCTGTTGCTAATAGTACCCATCCCATATTTCTGGTCACAGTTGCACGTGCATGACATCACTTTAAAGTGTTGTCATGCACATTCCCCTTATAGAATGTATCTGCTCCAAAGGGCAAACTTGAGAAAACACGGCATAATCTGGTGTAATATAGAAACAAATAAAATGTTCCCAGGCTGTAGACTGAAAGTCTGATATAATATAAAACACACAATGCACACGTTTATGCTGTAATGGCAGTCAAAATATGGAATTTGTTGTCCTTAAGGGTCTTGATGTCTGTATTTTGCAATATTGATGCAGTTGTAGACATGTTACAAAGTTAGGGTTGAACTTCCAAAATGAAATGATCAACAACAACAATGTCAAACCCTTGCCAATTTGGATGCTAGGATGCTAACATTTGGAAGGGAAAATAAAAACCTGACCGTATACATCTATTGTCTCTAAATAAAGTCTCTAAATCGACATAATCTATTGTTATTTGTCTTCACTGGATATTATGGATATATTAAATACAAGTAATGGACAACAATATACAGATCTAAATGTATAGACAGTTTTGAACATTATAAAAGTTACTAACTATGTTTCATAAATTCCGATCCCAAAATAAATCAGTTTGATCAATGCAGCCTGACCCTCAAAAAGTGAAGGGACACATGAGCGCGCCCTGAAGCCAGCAGACACCACACAGGATGCCCTCTGTGGGTTTGTTGAGAGCAGATATCTGTGATTTCAGAACATACCCCAGTCTGTCCTCCTCCTTCTTCCTCAAGTCGAAATCTCGCTGGACGACTTCCCAAACATGTCTGGCCTCCTGGTCTGTGAGCTTGGAGAGATCCAGCTTCTTGCCTGCTGTGGTGCCAGGCATGATGGTGAGGCTGAGCCTGGGAGCTGGCAGCCTGTGCTGGGCTACATGTGGGCAATAATAGAAATGCAATAAGCTGTTTGGAAATGTGAACAATGTAAAAGTGTTAAGTGAGGAGAAAGCAACATGAACATGAGTTTGCATGAATCCTCATTTTTTATGAGGATTTTTTTATAGTGAAAACACTACAAACTGTAAAAATAGGTCACCAAAAATGTAGTTTTTTGCCTTTTTTGCATCGTTGCATCATTAGACTGACACCAATCATCACTCGTAGGTCAGCGATAGTCGTCTAATGTTCATGGTTCTGTGTGACAAGGGTTTGGAAATATATATTTGTTGCACTGATCAAGAGAGGAGGAATTATCTTTCTTAGCTGTCATTTTTTACCTTTGAACTGTTTAACATTGCAGAGAGAAGGTTTAGCAACACCTTATCAAATGTTAACAGTAAATATGTCCCTGTCTACAGTTTTGCTATGCTAACAGTACCTGACACAGCTGGGCCTGCTCTCTACAACACTGTGCGAGACATTACACTATTTTATGTATAAAATAGCTTATGTGTTTGCAGGTCATTCTCAAGCTGTCAGTAAACATCCAATTAATTAATTTTACTTTTTCCAATTAACTGCTGTGAGTCTTTGAGGCTGCTGTTTTCTCAAAACAAAACAGACCAGAATAACCGTTTTGATCATGGATCTGTTATGAGCGTTGGTCGAGATGAGTCCTGGGATCTGGGAAGGTTCGGCCCAGTTCAACCATCACACTGCTGAGGGACTTTAATCCAGTCTGTGCTAACTGGAGCAGGCCCAAATCATTTCACATGGTCCCGCTTCACAATGTATGCTCCTCATACACAAATGGCAGCTAAACACTCTTTTTCATAATCAATAATCAGCAATGGAATGCTCAGGAAAGGCATTGTCTTGTTTACAACAGGCCTTAAAATACTGGAGTGGACGAGTGATTGCATAATCAGATTTCTGCTTATGCAATTGGGCACTAATGGTAAAAACAAGCATGCAAGTTTAACAGAGAAACATTCACATCTAAATGGTACACTGCAAGAAGGACATTGTGCTCATCCAGCTTTATAAAATAGTACTTACTACTTTCCCACCGTTCAATCCTTATATTTGAATACCCAAGGCATACAGAAAGCTCGACATGTATTTGCTTAGCGGGTGTGAGCAACTTGGTATCTTTGTCTATGTTTTCATAATGCTCCCCCAACACAACACTTATATATATAATATATAATATAATATTTTCTATGTCATTATTTTAGTCTTTATTCCTCAGCGTGTAAAAATCCTAAGTGTATAGCCTGTTTACTGAAGTATGGTGTATGAAATTACATTTTGATGCACACATATATAACACGTCCGCATAGGAAATAATTCCTTTTGTTTGCAAAAGGAAGGTTAGGCTTTTAAACAGGTGTGTAGACACACAAACCTGCCACAGTTTACTATGTGGTTTACTATATAGTTTAAAAAAAGAACAGTATAGATGACTAAACACTTTTCTTCTAGTCCTGACCACCTTACATGCTCCCATGTGCAGTTTTGCAGATAGACTGACAACATTTCTTTTTGGCCTTTTTTGCCTTTTCTTCAAAAACGATGCATTATTTGTCTTTCTAATTTTACACCAGACCACTTTCAGACATAGTTTGGTCACATAATGTAATGAGAACATTGTTGCACATTGACAGTTAACAAAGTAGAAATCCAAAAAATGAAACAAAAAGCAGAAAATAAGTAAATTGAAATGTCTCAGAGAAACAACCACATGTAGGCAATAATACAATTGTTTTTCACCTAACAACATTGGGAGATCAATGTGTGTAAATATGTCTTACCTTGGTGTTGTGAGAGTAGCTGCAGGCAGTATTTTCCTCCGAAGGCAGAGCACACTGGCTGGAGGGCAAACTAAGTAGCAGACAGCAATGCTAATCACATGTCTAGTTAACCAGGAGGGAGAAAGGCTGGGACACAAGCCTCCTCTCCGCCTTCCTCCACTCACTGCAAAGGTCCGGGCTCATTGAGAGTGGTATTAAATACATTGTGTTGAATATGGAATTATGTTGGAAAAAACAAAAAAATACTAAATCAATTGCTTTGGATGCAATTCTTTCGGGCATGTCCTCTGTATTAAAGAGTGCAGTGGTCATGAGGTTATGTGGAGGCCAATTGGGCTTTAGTCCTCAGTCACATGTCATGGATCTTGTTATAGAAGAGTTTTGAGGCATCACATTGTAACAATCTAAAGTCTTCATATCAACTTTAATTTCTTGTAGGGCAAAACAATTGCAAAGCTTTTAATGTGTAATGTTAAAGCAGCAGCATAGGAATGCATGTCTATCTCTGTTAATAATCAATGCAGTGTTGGTTTAAGGGTACTACGTGGGATAATATAGTTTTAAGAATGTTATTTGCACATTGGGTGGGTCAACATATTTCTCAGAGAGGGATCAGGTTCCATAGATACACATTACAACTTGTAGAACAAAGTTGCGATTATTTCTATGTGCTGAGCCATTACAGTTCCTTTAATGTGATGTGAGTGCAGAGTCTACACAAAGAAAACTTCCAATCCATTGTGACAGAAAGATACTCTCAGAATGTGATTAGGGCAACTTTGAAAGAATCAAAATGAAAGTGGACATCAAAATGACTGAATTGTCTTTGTTCATTGAATTATCTCCTCTCATAAACAAAAGGATGTTATCCCATATCCTCCCCTCTAAAAAAAAGTTGATTTAAGCCATGTGACCTGTCCAGCAGTTCAATGTCCTTGTTTGCTCCACCAGGCCAGGCATATGTCTGTGGATTATATAAATATGAAAACAGTCTTTGGAAGGGATGAGTCACCCCGTTTTTTTTTTTGCTTTTACGTTTGTGTTAATCTAGGAGGCCCTACTATGCTTTTTGAGGTTTTCCCTCTCCTGTAGTGTGTTCTATAGGCTTATATGAATATAACTGGTCTGCTAAGGCTGAAATCCCCCCCCCCCCCTCGCCTAAAACGCCTCCATTGGACTCCATTGTGTACTTCTGGAACATAGTGACATCACTATGTAACACTTGCGCTTCTATTGGCTAACGCTCCAACACATTGTACGTGATAGGCTAAGGGGCAGGACATCTCTAATCACAACAGAGCTGGCCAGCTAACCAATCAGAGCAGACTGGGCTCTGGTTTCAGACAGAGGGTGAAAAGAGGTGCTGCAGCACAGGCAGTATGAGAACAATAAAAAGCTTTTTGAACATTAAAGCATGGAGACATGTCCCAGTAGAGACACTACATACTGATATACACCTGAACATCAGCAGGAGAGGACTCTTTAAAGTAGAGACACTACATACTGATATACACCTGAACATCAGCAGGAGAGGACTCTTTAAAGTAGAGACACTACATACTGATATACACCTGAACATCAGCAGGAGAGGACTCTTTAAAGTAGAGAAACTACATACTGATATACACCTGAACATCAGCAGGAGAGGACTCTTTAAAGTAGAGACACTAAATACTGATATACACCTGAACATCAGCAGGAGAGGACTCTTTAAAGTAGAGACACTACATACTGATATACACCTGAACATCAGCAGGAGAGGACTCTTTAAAGTAGAGTCACTACATACTGATATACACCTGAACATCAGCAGGAGAGGACTCTTTAAAGTAGAGACACTACATACTGATATACACCTGAACATCAGCAGGAGAGGACTCTTTAAAGTAGAGACACTACATACTGATATACACCTGAACATCAGCAGGAGAGGACTCTTTAAAGTAGAGTCACTACATACTGATATACACCTGAACATCAGCAGGAGAGGACTCTTTAAAGTAGAGACACTACATACTGATATACACCTGAACATCAGCAGGAGAGGACTCTTTAAATTCTGGTGTGTGAATCTGTACAGTAGTTATTTTATTCAGCCACAATAAAGGATGGGTTGGTACTCTGGGCAGGGTCCTGCTTACTGAAGTAACCTTTGACATCTTTTGAAACTTGTCTTTCAATTATTTGTTATCTTTTTGTACATAAGGTTCACACATAGAACATCTAATTTGAAGGTGCACCTTACAAAGACGTCTTGATCAGCTCCTAGTACTTCACAGTTTGAATTCCATTGGGAGGTAAACCTATAACAGAGATTTGGCTGTAGCACAGTCAGTTCCTGCCATTATCTTGCAGTGTGTGTGTGGATTCAATTCCTCCCCTTTTATCTTGGACAGCACCCAGTGCAAACATCTAGTGTGCATTAACATCCTGGAGCGAACATGATATTCAGGTTAGTATGTTTGATCTCAGTGCAAATATACATATATCAATGTTAAGGTGTACTGTCAATGTAAATAAACTCAACTTCCTTAAGAATTAAAATGATGTGATGTGTTTTTGGTAGTTATTTTGTGACATATCTCAAGAGTTATTTTGGGATATACAAATAAAGAAACGACAGATAACCTTTATCTTTTCTCCTTTCTATGCATGGTATTCGTCACATTGTAGTGCCGAGAGATAGGAGTCGGAGGCGGTGCATCGAAGGTGCAAAAGGTAACTTTATTGAGGAGCAGGAAAGCACATGTTGCTGGCTTGCAGACCGAGTAGAGAAGAGAAAGAGAAAGGAAGGAGGACACAGTATATACCCCGGAGGTACAGTAAGCATAAGTGTCCGTGCGAAACAATACCCCCAACCTGTAGTTCCATGAGTGAATTATGTATTAATAAGTGATCACTACACAAGCCCCCCCAGAATTCAAACATGGCACAATCCTCGCGTCCGGGAGGAAGCACCACAGGGGCCGAGGAGGGTGGGGTTGCAGGTGAGGGCCGGGCCATGGAACGGGCCGTCGTAAGGGGGCCGCAGGGGGGCCTCGGTAGGCGTTGAGGCGAACGAAGAACACATCCGCCAGCCGTAGAAAGCTGGATCGCTGAGCCGCGACGTGGGGACCGGCATGAATATCCCGGTGGTCCCCAGCAGGGAGGAGCGCAGCCCGGCCGCAGGCAACGCGCAGCGGCGGCAGGCACGAAATCCTCGGGAGGAAGGAGCAGCATCCCCAGGAGGCAGGAGCAGTCTCCCCGGGAGGAAGGAGCCACGGACAGAGGAGAGGCCAGGCAGGGTCCAGTAGTGCGCCACCCAGGCGCCGATGAAAGCGAGGGCGACGTCCGAAGCCGCTGCTGAGGCGAGGGAAGAAGTCAGACAGGGTCCCGGAGCGCGCCACCCATGGGCCGATGAAAGCATGGGCGACGTCCGAAACTGTCGAGGCGAGACGGGGTCCAGAAGTGCGCCACCCAGGCGCCGATGAAAACGTGGGCGACGTCCGGAACCGCCGTCGAGGTGGTAAAAAGCGAGAGTGTCCACACGAGGTCAACCGGCTGGTCGAACCTCTTCTCAGGCACCGGAAAAAGCTCAAAAGGGTCGTCTTGTCCACTAACAAAAACAGGTAGGTGAAATTGTGAGAGGATCCACACGAGGTCAACCAGGCTTGGTCGAACCTCCTCTCCGGCACCACCAACATTTTTTTAACAGTCAGATGTTAACACATGGAAGCAGTCGCACGTTAGCTGCTAGCCGTTAGTTGTCAGTCGTCGTTAGCTGTTAGCCGTTGTTAGCCGTTAGGTGTCGTTGTTAGCCGTTAGCTGTCGTTGTTAGCCGTCTGTAGCTGCTAGCTGTTAGCTGTCGTGGTTAGCTGTTAGCTGTTAGCCGTCGGTAGCTGCTAGCTGTTAGCCGGTGTCGACGGCCGCTAGCTGTAAGCCGGTAGTCGTTAGTCGATGTCGTCGGCCCCGGAGCCTCTGCTAGGCGGCGTGCCCCCACCAGGGAAGGTGCCGCTGCGTGTAGGCCAGCACCCCAGGGGTAAATTGCCGGGCGGCCAGGAAGAACCAGTCAGCTTCTTCGGCTAAAGCGCGGGGCTCAACACTAGCCGTGTTAGCTAGCGCAGCCTGGACAAGCAGCCGCATGTCCCGAAGAAACAGTTCCATGAAAAAGAAGTCGGATTCTTCCGTACCTAGCAGGTCGTGTATCGTTTCCATGTGGCCGGAAGGTTTGCTGTCTCCCAGTGCCGAAACGATGCGGGAATGGCGAGCGACGTCCTCAGCCATTCCGTAGGGGCGCACCGAGCCTCAGTCTGTGTGCACGTGGCAGCCACGGAGGTCTCCAAAAAAAATCTCCGGCAGTTTGCGAAAAGCGGCCTCTCTAGCCATGTTCGGTCCAGTCTCGGAAACTTCTGCGAGACTTATGTCAGGGTCACCAGTATAGTGCAGAGAGATAGGAGTCGGAGGCGATGCATCGAAGGTGCAAAAGCTAACTTTATTGAGGAGCAGGAAAGCACATGTTGCTGGCTTGCAGTCCGAGTAGAGAAGAGAAAGAGAAAGGAAGGAGGACACAGTATATACCCCGGAGGTACAGTAAGCATAAGTGTCCATGCGGAACAATACCCCCAACCTGTAGTTCCATGAGTGAATTATGTATTAATAAGTGATCACTACAACATCCTTGTTTGTTACATCAGGTGTGTCACACACCTGATGTAACAAGCGTTTCTGCTTATGCCTGTTACAACAAGGTTTTGCACACACCGTGTGTGTGCAAAACCCTGTCTAAAGTCAAAGATGAATCAATTGTTTTTCCTTCTCCATGTCCCCTAGGGGGCCCCGTACTACTGACACACCGGGGACACATATTTATGTATAAAAGACTAGGACTGTCAGTCGATTAAAATAGTTAATCGCGATTAATCGCAAATTAATCGCACATTTTGTATCTGTTCTAAATGTACCTTAGAGGAATATTCTTCAAGTTTTTAATACTCTTATCAACATATGAGTGGACAAATATGCTTTATGCAAATGTTTGTTTATTATCATCTTGTAGTGCCGAGAGAAGGGAGTCGGAAGCGGTGCATCGAAGGTGCAAATCTGTACTTTACTGAGCAGCAGAAATGTACATGCTGTCGTGTCGCAGCACGAGAACAGAAGAGAAAGTGAAAGAGGAGGACACACAGTAGGTACC